GGTGTCAAAGTGGCTTGGGTTGTTGAGCAGGCTACTCCACCGAAAGATAGTTGCTTGCAAAGGAGTCAGAGGCAACCATGTCCAAGCTGGGAGCTCACGATCTGCTTGCAGAAGATCTTGCGGCAGGCTGTCATGCCTTGCTATGGACGCGTCCACTGCGAACAGGAACCTTTCCCGAGTGGCAGCAGTGTGCCCGCCTTCCAACCCACGCTCCATGCTGATAAGCTTGGACGGGTGCCCATTGCCGAGAATGGAAGGGGCAATGCGCTGCGTCCGGGAGCTTTCATAAGAGGTTGAGGTTCGAGTAGCTCGCTTGGTTTTGCCCCGCTGGATGAGAGTGTTCAAGGTGCTTGCGTGGCAGTTCACAGGGCCAGACGGCTTGTCACTGCGGTCACCTCGAGCACCCAGCAAGCCGATTTGCTCCAGAAACTCATAGCATTCATCGAGATTGAACGCTTGTCCATACCATACTCGGGCAGCCTTTTTGTCTTTCTTCTCACCGACCTCGACCTGTGGGAACTCCACGGAGCATCTGTAGAAAAACTCGGTCATCGTGAAGCTCTGAAGGGAAACAGACTTGGTCGTGACTTGCAGCTCAGGGGTCCCTGCTCCTTCCACCGGAGGCACCAACTTGGCGGCCAATTCATCCGCGTACTCCTTGGCACGTTTTGCCACAAAGTCATCGGCCGTTTCGAAGAGAAGCTCCACTGCTTGGAAGAGCCGCGATTTTCCACGCTGTGGCGGCGCCATGTGCAGCACCATCAGAGCCAGCGGGCTAGGCTTCTGGTTCCACAGGCGCACGCTAGCCCCGTTTGAGAGTGCAGGCATGGCACCCGCAAACATCATGACCGTGGAGAACATGCCCTGGCATGTTGAGGCGGAGATGGGGAGCAGGAAGTCGTAGACTTGCTTGGGGAGATGCTCTGCGGCGTTGAAGTTGTCCTTCACAACATCCAACGCAGCTCTCCACAAGGCGTCGACTGCCTTGTGGTTCAACTCTTCCGGAGTGGAGGCTGGCATTGCTGGCGAACGCCTCGTGGGTCGTTTGTGTGCACGTTGCGCTCGTTCTGTGGCGGCGCTGCGACATGTGTGTATGTGTGTGTGTGTTTGAGCGCTTGCACGCTGGCTTGGTCAATGAAAAGCATTGGTTGCTATCTTCAGTGTTACGGCTTTGGCATTACTACTCCTGCGAGCATTCTGCTGCAACGCAAGCTGTCAAACAGTGTGCAACATAATGACTGCGCTGTTGTGTCTTGCGCAGCAAGGACTGGCAACGCCAGCACAGCAAGGCGGTATGTCAAACAAGCCCAGGGCAGAGCTAGACGGACAAGGCAGAGCCACTGGCAAGATGAAGCGCCGTCTCACTTTTTCCGCCCATGAGAGTCGAGCCACCTGAGTCTTCACCTACCAGCCGCGCTTGCGGCAATCTCCCGCTTCCGCTTCTTCTCAGAGCCGCGCTTCTTGTCCTGGAGCAACTGGAGCCGGGCGAGATTGTGGACATCTGCCAACTCCTGGAGGACGAGTTGCGCAAACCAAGGGCCATAATGATGAAATCAATGGCCCAAAGGACTGAACTGCGCATTCGCACATTCAGTGATCTCGGTAGGGAAGCCGCTCAGAACATCCTTGTTGCGCTGCAGGCTTGGCAGGCATGTTTCTTTGCACCATTCGCCCGAATGCCCACCAGCATGAAACTCATCAATGATGAAGTCAAATTCAGATAACCTGGCTGCCACAGCAGATGCAGTCCGATTACGGAGGCACATGGCTTTCAAGTGGCAGCTGTCATCATGAACGATGCACTTGAGGCTCGGCAACCTATGCGCACATTGCGCCGCAAAATGAAACCGCTGCGAAAGGGATTCAGCTCCAATCAGCTCCATGACATCGAGGAGCAGGTGACGGCAAAAAGGAAGCCAGCAGTGCGAGCTGCAGCGTGGGCATCCTTGGCAGATTCCTTGTGCGTCCTGCAAGAGCTCTTCTGTCGGGGCTGAGCTGAATGCCATGGCGCTAAGAATGTCCTTGCCCTGCGAGGCCGAAAGCCTGCCCACTTCTGAGCGCGAGCCTCAACCCTGCGCTGTCTCCTTCTGCGGCTGGCCGCCATCCGCGAAACCCCTCAATCTGGATTTCCAAGTGGCAGACGTCACCGTCGGCATGCAGCGCCCTCTTGAGGCGATGACGGGCAATATCCTCTGCCTGATGCTGGTGCTGACGGTCTCGGTCCCGCGCGTGTTTCCAACAGAGCGTGTCGCGACCGTGCGGCCTGGCACTGCAGCCGCGAAGCAGGAGCTTGTTCAGGTGTGGGGACTGCACAACCTCCGCAAAGGGCATTCCGCACGTGCGCCTGTGCAGCTTGCAATTCCCGTCAATGGCAAGGATGTCTTGCCTGTCCCCGGCGGCCTCCATCTGGGCCAAACGCCTGCCAGGGTTCGCAGGCGCGGCGAAAGAGCAAGCCGGAAAACGACAAACGACCCCAGCCCAGGGGCCCTCACCCCCTGAAGAAAACTTGCCACAAGGAACTTCAACTTGACCAAGCCTGCCGAACATGAGGGGCTCGTACCAAGACCAATTTGCTGCAATGAGCTTCTCCACGGTGCCGCTCAAGACCTCCTTCTGGAGTGTCTGGGATACTTCCACGCCAGCTTCTGCAGCTCTGCGGCAAAGAATTTCCCGGGCCCAGCCTTCTCGGAGCTGATGCCGTATGTGATATCGAACGGTGGGATTCACAAGTCGCAGCAGCACGCCTTCAGGAAAGCTGGCCCTGTGAAGGTACATTCTGTACCGCCAGCGGCGCAGCCAAGTCCTCGCAAGCCCAGTTCTGGAGTTGAGGAAGAAGAAAGCCGGGTCAGGCAAATCGACTTCTTTGTGGAACGTGCATCTCTTGTTTGGCCGCGAGAGACGAAACTCGACGAAGCCACACCAGTACCTGGCCTGCTGACAAAATGCCGGGCAGGAGCTTGACAAGTGGCAGGCCGCTATGATGTCCGGCTCGGCTATGATTTGAGCAGCCACTGCTCCGGGTTGGCCTGGCCGAGCCTGCCTCAGTGGTCTTCGACACTGCGGGCAAGTCTTTCGCTGGGAAGTGACAGCCACAGAGCGCGGGCGATCCATGGGCAACTGCGCTGTGAATGCTTTCCCAGATTTCCAAGTAAAACATAAAGATGGAAGCGCATGTCACATTGAGTAAGACTCAAAGAGGAGCCACTAACGTGGGAAGCGCTCATGTGCCCAGTTCACGTGGAAGAGGCTACAGCATGGCTATTGCTAGAGCTGCAAGGCCTGAGCTTCAAAAGCGGTGTCGCAAAAGGTGGGGGAAAGGCCCGGGCGTTGAGCACGCAATTGTGAATGAGCCAAGCATGTCAAAGGCAGGGGCGCAGGCTGGGGGAGTTTCCCACAGCAAATAACATGTTTGCCACAAAGAAGTAGATTGAGGAGCCCTGCATAAAGAGGCGTGGCGTGTTGGGCGCTGCCGATGGCCAGTGGCCGGCGGACGCTGGGAACAGGCAAGCTGCGCTACTCGCAGAGCCCAGGAATGGTGGTGGCTGGTGGCCGGTGGCCGGTGGCCGGTGGCCGGTGGCCGGTGGCCGGTGGCCGGTGGCAGGAATGGTGGTGGCCGGTGGCCGGTGGCCGGTGGCCGGTGGCCGGTGGCCGGTGGCCGGTGGCCGGTGGCTATAAAATGACTATAGTGTCCGCGGGCCCTCATCACGAGCGAATCACCCCGCAAAACATGTCAAGGTCATTCACGGGTGGCGGATCTGGGCGCTTCAAACACCAACACGCACAGTCCGGAACTTGTTGCAGCAAGACTCGACGCCTACGCGCGCCATAGCTTTGCATGTGCGCTACCCCTCTGCCCTGCAGCTCGACCTTGCACCTCGCAAGTCAGCGGTCGCGCTCCTGCGCAGCCACACAACACCACTGCGCGAGCGCCCCCTTCCTGCCAGGCCAAGGTAGAGAAGTTGACTGCGCTCTCTGCTGGCAGTTGCTTACGGCAGCACTCCTCGGCAGGGGACTTCTTGCTTCAGCCATGGCAATGACAGCGGTTAGGTTAAAAGTTGGCGAGTGTTGCTAAGCGCGCAAACGCGAGCGCCACGGGTCGTATGTCTGAGTAGTGCCATCAGCACCCGGCGCGCGTCCAACGGGGTCTTCAACATGTCAATGCCATTCGCGGATGGCGGATCTGGGCGCGCCCCTCTGCCCCATTGCACCTTGCAAGGCAGCAGTCCGCTCCTGTGTGGCCACGCAACACCGCGGCGCGAGCGCCCCCTTCCTGCCAGGCCAAGGTGGAGAAGTTGACTGCACTCTCTGCTGGCACTTGCTTGCGGCAGCACCAACCCTGGGTTTCTCAGTGTGTCTGAGTAATGCCATCGGCACCCCGCACGCGTCTAATAGGGTCTCCCACGTAATGAAGCGCAAGAGATTGGACATGCTCCAGATTCGACTCAATTCAAAAGCCAGATCTCGGACGATTGATCGCTTCGATGACACACACACACATGCCTTCATTCGCTGGCTCAGGGCCGAAGAATGAAGATACGGACCACAGCGCGGACTGATGCGCGCTGACAATTCCGCAAAATGTGTTTTCGATGACACCGGAAACAAAACACGTGCCCCAAAGTGTTTCTCGAACACGCTTCGAGCTTGCAGGAGCGATGGAGAAATAGGGGCAAAAACAAGAAAAAACGAGCCACGATCTAGAACTGTGGTGAGTATCTTCGTTCTTCGGCCTTGTTTCCATAGCTCTCTCTCTAATCCGTATCTGGTCCTGTCTGTTGCGACTCCGTGGCGGGTGGCCAACTTTGCACGGAATGTCGAGTGCTTCGGCTCTAATCCACACGCGTGTGGTTACTGCTTTGTTGCGTGTGCAGGCAGCGCGTGGGATTCAAAAAGCGCATGCGCATGTGGCCTCGCGCGCGTCCCACCGTAAAAACCAACCTTAACCACCGGACAAACGGAAAACCGAGTGAAACAAAAGCAAGCCCAATACGCCCAGGCGCAGGCGGACAGGCGCACATGCGCCTGTAGCGACGCTTGTGGCAGCGCGCGCTCCACAGCGTCCAAGTCTCCCTTGGCGGCGGCCGACACGAGGCGCACGTCCTCACGGGATCGAGGCCGAGGTTGGCTACCTTTAAAGCAAAGGGAAATCGATTGCATCCCGCATGTCCATGGCCCTCTCAATTTGACCATATATACTCGATACCTCACATGGTACCGTCAGGACAAAAACTTGTAGTTCCTGCCACGTTTGTCTACATCTCGATACCATGGCTGACAACTTTGGGAGGCAGCAGGCAGAACTGCTGGATAGAATTCAACAAGCAACTTCAACAGGAGGTTAGTGTGGATCATGTTGGAACATGACAAGAGTTGCTTCACCAGTGATCCAAAGATCGTACAAAATGGTGCCGAAGTCCTTGCGAGATCTGCCAAATGCGGACATATGCGACCAGTCAATTCGCCAGGAGAACTGTAGCTTGGGCAGCGTGTATCCCTTGCGTTGCTGGTGCTTGCATCGCTCCCCATGATCATCAATCGCATGTGATTGAGGTATACAAATGTTTCTCCCACATAGTGGAAAGCTACAACATGAACTTTCGAAAGAATGAATTCCCCACAAGGGAAATCTGATGAATCCGAAGGGGCATGTTGTCTTCATCCGAAGTGGGCATGGCTGTCTATTAAGCTTCATTGCGAATCCACTGCCCTCAGTTTTCCAGCTTCCAGCGTGCGCCGCAGAATTTCCCGAGGAAAACTTGGGCCCTGGAACTGCAGATTCACCGAGCCTTTTCGCAGGTTCTCCGCAAGCTTTCAGTGTGGTTTATGTCAGGGCTGGAACCCTACGGATTTTACGGTTCACTCACCTTCGGGTGGGTCAACCTTCCAACCATCCAATCCCAAACCCTTGCCTCGCACCCCCAGTGCCCTCTTCCCCTCTCCATTCCGGCCCCACACCCTGGTATGTTGGATGGAGGGTTTGTTGAAGCCACCTTGTTGAGCTTTGGTGCTGAGCAGCTCGAAGTCTCCATACCGCCCACTATCTCACCCCTTGTGACGAATAAACCTTGTGCTACAAAAGTGGGATCCCATTCGCATGACCACGTTCTCACTTTGTCCGGGTTCCCTCTTCTTCTCACTTTTTACCAGATTCTGTTCCCCCTGCAAAAGTTACCTTGTTGCTTCTTCACAATGAAGGACGACCAGAAAGGCAAGCAAGTTTTAAAAGGCAAGCCAAGCGTACTCCCCTAGACTTGCTTTTCGGGGTGGTTGGAACATACCAAACAAACAACGGACACCCATGGCGCTCCCCCGGCGCGCGGCGCCCGCGTCCTCCGGGCGCTTGGACAGCTCCGGGCGGCTGTGGGCCACCGTGGGCCCTCCGCCCGGGTCGAAGAGCGCGGGCTCCGGCAGCGCCCAGGAGGCCGAGCGCTCCAGCGGCCCCGCGTTCGAGAAGAGCCGCCGCATGGAAGCGGTTGAAACAGGTGTTCACGGGAAGAGTCAGATGGGCGAACCATACAAACCTGTGCAAACAACATAAGAGGGGTCGGTCTGAGTGCACCCTTTTGGGGTTTCAACAGGCTGACCACACGATTTTGGGCTCCGTCAAAGAGAGCTGGCCCGAAACAGGACCGCACCCGGCGCGAATAATCCAAGACATGAGAGTTATACATGTATTTGCTTCACAGCACATTCTAGTAGAAATCAGCTAACAATTGTTACTTGGTGCACTTGGAAGGATTTTTTGGCAGCTGCTAGATGTTCCTGCGCAGCACACCTGTTCGACAATAAGTTCAATGGAAAGCAAACTGGTTGTTGCCATCAGCATACTTGCACGCAGAGGCAAAAGGCTGGCTGTGCTGCGGTACCAGTGTGCAATGCTATGGCCTGGCTGGCGCAGGGAACCCTTGCTTGATCCTGAATGAGAAGCAGGGCTGTACAAAATATGTTAAGTTCAACAGCCAGACCCTGGCCACGGAAACCAAATGGGAGTTATTTGACCACAAGTGGTTTAAACATGGTTAAGTCAGCGGTTGGGGCCCAACCCTGATTGCAACCAAGTCGGTGCCAGTTTCCCGATCCTGGCGTGCAACTGGTCATGCAGTGTGCACATATGCCTAGAATAGCTGCAATATCCAGCCCATGACGCGATCTTGATGCAGAGGTGGTACATGAACTATGTCAGCGCACGTTGCACATAGCTTCTTGAGGACAGCATTGCAGATGCGTGAAACGGACTTCTTGGCAAACTAGTGACTCTGACCCTTCGGGAAGATCTAAGGTTGATATTCCGCATCCCCTGTGCCAAGTTCAAGTGAGTCTGGGGTGATGGTGAGTTGAAAGTTGGATAGCTGTCGTCCTGGGTCCATATACCATTCTGGGCTTCCAGCTCAAAGCCAATGATTCAATGAGTCTTGGGAACTTGGCGGCAAACAACCAACTTCTGAGCTTTGCAAGCTGTTTCACGAGGCTCTCATGTGGAATGCATACCTATACGTAGCGGCTGCACACCTTCAACGCGACATGCACACCGATAGCGGTGTTGTCCTTGCTCCTGATTGAAAAATGTAGACCAAACAAACAAAAAACTGTAGAGCAAACAGGGTCCAACAACACGTGTTGGTTTTCCACCCATGGCCTTCACGTGTCCAGGCCCTCCAGCCCTCCAGCCTGCGCCATGACCTTGTCTCTGGTCGCCTCGTCGTTGTCTCCCTGACCAACCTCGCTTGTTCCATGTGGGTGTGGCTCAAATTAAAGAGCAAGGGTTACGCAGGTTTTCGTCTTTGGTTCCATTTACCAAGGAGCGATTTTGGCACAATTTTCTGAGCCTCAGCCATCTAATCAGCTTCATTCCATTGGGGTGGCAACAGCACTGTGACAGTGGTCCATGCAACCTCCTGTGACAAGAAGTCAGAGAAGATGCAGGCTCAGCAGGCCACAAAGGCATCACAAACGCACCGCGCAAGACCCATACACAAACAGAGCGAAGCACTGCCGAAGCCCCGGTACACCGAGTTGTCAGGACGCATCGACTCCAATCCTGAAAAAGGCTAAGCGTCCGGCATCTTCCAGGCGCTTGTCCGGCAGGGCGGACGTCAGCTCCTCGATTCCGGCAGCGGCGCCACAGGTGCAAACGCAGAAGCAAGAAACAAAGCGCTAGCTACGCTGCCGCTAGCGACAACGCAATCGCCCGACAGCCATGACTAACAACACCATCAGCTGATAAACAAACAGTCATAACAAAGGACGCCACCAGCCTCCTGCAGCATGTGATTGTGAAAGGCTGAGACCAAAACAAGAGACTTCATACATGGGCACTGGACTGAGAATGATACTCTCTATGCTAACCGATAGAACACGGCACTTCTCCTTTGGAGACGACAGCTGTAACAGCCTAACCCGCAAGACCCACAGGCCTGGGGACAACAGCCCCACCAACCCACTTCTCAGGGCGGGTGGATGACACTGATGCAAGTGTAACTGTATGCAAGCCATGTACACAAACACATTCAGTGTGATGCTCAAGGCAAGCCATGAGAATCCAACGCCTCTGGCCCACATCACCTTGATTCTACTTGCGATGTCCATTCAAGAAGTGAACAGCATGCATGGTATGTAGGAGGTCTCAAATCAAAGGAATGTGTCTGTTCAGCCTCGCTTGGCTTCCCAAGGTATCAACTTGCCCGCTGTCCTTCGCACACAAAACCAGCCTCTCCCCCATGCCTGAGCCGCAAGAAGATGATTATCTTTGGCACGTTGAAGGCCATGCGGGCCAGTCAGACCAGCTTGTTTCCCCAAGAAGATATGGGAAATCGAGTGAATCCCCCCGGGAAACTTTGTGAGTTGCCCATGTCTTGCCAAATTAACCATGGACTAACTGATCACCAGTAAATGTTGACCGAGCTTCGTGTGGCATTCCTCTGAGAAAAACTGGGATAAATTATTGCCAAGCATTTGAGTCACCAGCAAACTACTGCGCATCCCATCAACATCCCATCGAATCTCCATTCAGTTTCCAGCCCTGGACCATGTCTGGACGGGTTGTGCTTGAAACTTAAGCATCACCAAGCTTCCAGATGCAGCGCGATCACACAACGCATCGCGGAGGCTCTGTTGACAAACATCGGGAGGTGTTGGGATGAATATCACAACGTTGGGCCTTGAACAACTTTTTGTCTATGACCCAACTTGTGAAATGCGGGCTGGCTGGCTGGCTGGCTTACAGGCACATCATGTTGTCCCGAAGGTTTCCCTCAGCTTGAAGGCTGCCAACTTTGACTCTACCTGCCAAGCCTTTCCCAGCGAAGTACAGTATGTTAAGAAAATGTCCTCAGTTTCTGGCACAAGGTTCATGATTCCTCGTCCATGGTGAGAGCAGTGGCAGAATAGGGCTCGCTGTGCGCATGACTCACAGCTCAACCCTCTATCACAAATGATCCACACGTGACTCGACGAAGCTGAACTGCTTGGCATGAAGTTCGTCAACTGGAAAGCGAGCAGGGGTTTGCAAAGCAGGGGTTTGCAAAGCGTGGGTCCCCAGACTCAATCGGTGAGCCATCTCCGATGCCGCGTCATGCCTCTGCGTTCAATTGGGGTATGTCTCCTTTGGAGGGTACCCGTTTCACCTTGGTTAAAGGAAGCAGAAACACAGAGGAACACCACCCGTTTTGGGGGGTCCGCCTATTTTGACACATGTCCATGGGCCCATTCGGCTGTCGAACTGCGACTAAAAACTGCTAGGCGATCCGAGGCCAATGCTGAGATTCTCCACGCTCTTGTCCTCGGCAGTCAGCTCAATGGATAAGTTGGGAGTTGATTGGAACCGGTTTAGGGTCCCCTGATCAATGGGTAAGCTAAGATTCAACAGTACTCAACTCCAAGATCCTTTAGTCCTTGCCATGCGTGGTGGCGAATTCTGCCAAAATGACCTCGCCAGTAGTAAGGGTGTACTTTGGGCCTCGTGAATACAGTTTGAAATCACTGCTGGCCCGCATCACAATATAAACTCGATGACGCGTTCATGCATGCACGCGCAGCAACATGATTGACAGCATTCCCACACCAAGCCGTGCAGTCCAAGCATCAATGTTGTCCTCCATCTTGCCTTTCGTCATCAAGCAGTACCCTTCACCTCGAAAGCAGGACGTCTACAAATTGATGCTGGCAAGTGCGCAGAACGCGAGGCGAGCACGAAAGCAAGAGCGTGAAGAGCGGGAAGAAGATCAGAGTGAGGAGCAGGAAAAAGAACAAGGAAGAGGCAAGAGATTTCAAAGCTAAACCAGGAGGTGAGGAGAAGGAGATAAGAAAGGGGAAGAGCGAATAAAACATGAGTGCGCAAGAAGAGTGGAAAGAAGGGCGGGCACCAAGCCTGACTGAAAGCAGTAAGTATGTATTTGGGCTGCTTTCAGCTTGCACACCGCACTCGTATCTTTAGGCGGACTCAGCCTTAGATTTCTGTGTTCAACCTCCTGGGCCTTGCTGGCAATCTGGATAGATCCAGGCAATTGCAATGGTTTGTAGGATCGTCAGAGGGGCGCGGACCCGGGGAGAAGGTTTGCCCTCCCACCCTTCTCAAGCTACGGTCCGCACCTTCAAACCTTGCCGGCCTCTCCATCTTCATGTAGGGGCAGCACAGGTGCAGCCCCTGAGGCTCTCGAAACCCCACGAAAGCAACCTTCAGTGTCACATTCGACAAGGTCGCAAAGAAAAATGCCTGGGAGAGATCCCACGAGACATCCGCGGCGCCCTGAAAAAAATCCGGGCGGCAGCATCTGGACGAGCCTTCAGAACACAAACAAAAAAAGGTGGATACCCACAAAATCGGCGGTGCCAACGTTTTGGGAAACCGGAAGGGAATGCTTCTGAAAAGAATATGAGCGTGTCTTGTGTCGAGGGTCTCCTTTTTCGTCCGAACAAAACAAATGAGCGAGGTCCAAGGAGACAAACTGATCTTGGCTTTGTTTTATATAGTTTGGGCTGTTTTCAAGGGACACCAACCCCAAGTGGGAAACCAAGCCCACGTTTTCGGCTTCCAAGCCCAGATCGCGCCTTCTCATCCACCTTGGCAATGTACGGCACCGGAGGAGGAGGCCTCGGACTCCGAGGGCCCCAAAAGAAGGGGACCCCCCGAAAGGGAGGGGGGTGGAAGTCAATAAGCTGAAAGCGGGATGGTGGCAATATGTTTTGGAGTGGGCATGATCTCCCAAAGGGAGGTACAACACTCTGCGAGGGCTCCGGTTCTTGCTTGAATTCCCATTCTTGGGGCCCGCTGGTTTTTAGTTTGGAAGCTCGCCCGGGGCCGGAACCAGGGCTTGCCCGAGGGCCTGTTGTTTTCTAGTGGATTCCTGACTGACGGACAAGGCCCTCGAGGACGCCCTGTTTGCGGCCCCAGCGTGAATCCAAGAAAAAAAAACGGGCCCACCGAGCGGCCTTGGCTCGAATCCAAGAACAAACCAGACCCCAGAGAATGTCTGTTTGAATTTGTGACTTCAAAAAGAACAGGAGCGGAA